ATGCAGAATCGCAACCATATTATACCAATTGTAGGGCCTATTGGTTTGGTATTGGAAATTTCCAAGAAGTTTCTCATGTCATGCTTGGCCTTGTCTTTAGTTGATTCAATTCTTTGGCAGCAATGCAATAAATGGAAAATCTATATACATTCAGCTCGTTCAATCTTCTTATCTCCTTTGAGTTTCTGATTTCATTACTGAAAATATATGGACCAAACATCATAGATGTGGCTCACAAGCTTATACAAAAAACAGAAGAAAAAAAATGGAAGATGTTAAAACTAGATCTAGAGGGAATCGTATACAAAATCACCGAATAAGCCCATGAACTTTGTCTTTAATGTAGCGAAAGAGAAATTATTGTATGAGGCCACATTTAGGCGAACCTTTTTCGGTACAAGTATCATAATCGGAATAATTTATTTTCTAAATTACAATTTAAAGAATATTTATGCAAAAAGTCAATTAAATTGGATGTCATTTAGTAATCCTTTTGTATATAAAAAAAACGCTTTTAGTACAATTAAAATCCTTATGATGAACTGCCTATTTAGTTTATACATATGGATGTCTAAACAATCTTAAATTTTATTTTATTTTTTGCAAATTTGATCTTTAAATGATAATTTAGAAAATAAATGCGTCCAATTATGACATGTATCACGAAATTTGGTTTGTTTTGGTCTTAATTAGTAATGAATTGGTGTTTTTTCTTCCTCAATTTCTTAGACAACAATTTGGAATTAATTAACTTAGCGATCTAGGGCTTTTCATTCCTCTTAATTTTTGTTGGAGGAAAGCCACACCAAAAAAAAAAAAAAAAAAAGCCCAGTAGAATTGGCATACCGAACAAAAAAAAACAATAGCATGGCAATGATGAAAGTGTTACTTCAATTAATAAGGGAAATTAATTGGAGTTATTGCAATTCCTTGCAGACAATAATGAGAAAGTTAAAGAAGTTGTGTTAGAAAATACTCTGGGGAATCTCAAGTTAGTAGCTCATTGAATTCAAAAAGATATTGTCAATTCATGTGCCCTTGAAACACTTGATGTTATTATGAGTGGTTTAAAAGATGGATTCTTTTCTATATTGGTGGATGAAGTATGTGATGTTTTAGTAAAAAAGCAAATGGCTATGGTGTTGTGTTATGTGGACGACAAAGGGCATGTAATGAAAAGATGTGTGGGGTCCAACATGTTATCGACACCACTTCAAGTTCACTAAAGGATGCCATTAACACATTCTTTTCTTCCAATGGTTTGAACCTTTCCAAGTTACAGGGACAAGGTTATGATGGAGCTAAAAATATGAGAGATGAGTTGAATGACCTTAAAATAAAGATTTTGAGAGAATAACCTACTGCATATTATGTTCATTGATTTGCTCATCAACTTCAACTAGCACTTGTTGTTATGGCAAAAGAAAAAGATTGGCATTGCCTATTTTTTCACAACGGCTAATAGTGTGGTTAACCATGTTATTGGAGCATTTTGTAAGCGGCGTGATGCACTTAGAGCTCAATTATAAGAAAAACTTGTGATAGCTTTTGAAAATGATTGTCTTATAATTGGGGGAAGATTGCATCTGTTGAGGCCCAAAAAAAATAAAATCCACACTTCGGCCCAAATAAATTCTCTGCCTAATGAAATACCTTACCGAGAAGAAACCTGATTTGGGCACGCGAAAGTTCATCATATGCGCTTGCACACATGCCAAGCCAAGCGACACGCCACGCCAAGCAAAAAATTTTTATTCCGCACTTAATCACGCCACAAGCTTAAGTGGGCCCCAAGCCACTCAAATACCTGGGGTTTGCTTGAGTGGGTTGTGGTATGGATGATAATAAATCAATATGAGGCCCATTGATGGGCCGAGAAATGGAAGTCTCAGGTTGCTTGGGAGCCTCGGGACTCAAGCCTATTTCTTAGGCCCAAACATATGGGTGAGCACAAAAGAGGAAATAACTCATTAGCTTAACCAAATTAGCCCAACACCTCAACAAAAATAGTCCAACACTTGTTGAGGTTAGCCCATTTATTTTGACAAACCAACCCATTATCTTAGAAGGCCCATACAATTAGAAAAAAGAAGAAGCCAAAGCCTCAGCTCATTGATGGAAAAAACAGAAGCCACGAAAGAGATGTCCACATATGCAGAATTGCTGAAACAACTGCAGGAAAGGGGGCCTTGAGCTCCCAAAATTCTTGATTTTGTGCAAATAGATAGAGGAAATTTCACCAAAATAGAAAAGTCAAGGGAGGAGAGGAGAAAGGAAGAAAAAGCTTGGCCAAGTTAGGAAGAAACCATTAGGGTTTCTTAGGAAATGATAGTTTCCAGTAAGCTATAAAATGAGGCATCTTCTACCCAACAAAACTCAACTTAAATTCTGAGAGCAAGTTTTCTCTCTTACCTGCAAAAACCTAGCAATTTCGTGCATTATTCACCATCCTTCTCCATTTTCCTCTTCTGGCAGACCACTTTCACATATGTTAGAAGCTTCGTCAAGCTGCCGGAAGAACATTGTTCTTTCTTTCTCTCTTCTCAGTCAAATCAGCCTGCAAACCTCTTCTTCCTCACCTTAAACACTCCCCTTTCTCCTTAGGAAGCCATATTTTCCTCTTTGGTGCTAAACTCATGCTGATTTTGCTTCCATGCCACAAGCCTCTCATGCCAAGCTAGAAAATTTATCTGTAAGCATCAAGAAATCATCTGTAAGCTGCTGTTATTTTCATAGGTGAAGGTAACCAAGGTGTTTCCTAAGGCATCTCTGTCCTTTCGAAGCATTCTTGGGGCTTGATCTTCGAACTCAGGCTCAAGGGGCAATTTCATCTATCTGCCATTTACGGCAGCCCAGCCCGTTTGTAGCTGCCGAAGAAAAAAGCCCCAACAGCATCAAGAAACAAGTCTCAAACGTGCAGGTGACACACGATGGAGCTCATATTATGATACCTTGATTAGCATCATTTCTATTTTTCATTCGTGATTCATATGCTTCAAATGATTATTGATAACAATCCCAATGATAGTGTCAATGAAGCAAATAAGTTAATAAGATAAATGCATACTTTTGAGTTTGTGTTTCATTTATTCTTGATGAAAGCTATATTAGGACTCACAAATGATGTGTCACAAGCATTGCAAACGAAATATCAAGAAATTGTGAATGCAATGGCTTTAGTGAAATCATGCAAGGAAAAGTTACATTAGATGATGAATAATGAGTTTGATGTATTGTTTGATGAGGTATTTTCCTTTTGTGACAAACATCATATTGATGTTTCTAACATGGATGAGAGATTCATACTTCCAGGGAGGTCAAGTCGTAATGCTTCAATAAAGACAAATCGTTATCATCATGTGCGTTCGACTAATGATTTCTCTTAATTACAAGGGATTGGTGGTTTTGCGAAAAAAAATGGTGGAGACAAGGATACATCGATCATTCAATTATGTGTATTTGCTTATTACATTGACGTTAGTTTTACCAGTTGCAACTGCTTCAGTCGAGAGGACATTTTCTGCTATAAATATTATTAAGAGTCCACTTCGGAACAAAATGAGGGATCAATGATTGAGTGATAGCTTGTTTGTTTACATTAAGAGGAATGTTTTTGCTTGTATTGAAAATAAAGCAATAATTCTATGTTTTCAAAATAATAAACTTAGTCGTGGACAATTGTAGCTTGTAATGTAGTTTTTGACATGAATTATGAATGAAATTATTATCGTTTCATTTTCAATATTTTTTTCAGCTTAAATGTTTTTGGGAACTTTAACACTATGACCCTATAAGGTAAGATTCCTGAATCCGTTATTGAGTTTGAGGTTCCAAATTTAATGCCCGTTTGGCATTGATTATTTTGATAAAAATCACTTTGTTTGACAGCGAAGCGTGTGTCTGTCTGTTTGGTAAAAGGATGGATAAGTGATTCTTTGTGAAAATCGCTGCCGAAGACCTCAGTTTGGAGAATCACGGTGGAAGATGCTTTTTATTTCCACTTCCTTGAGAATCAGTTGGGGACCGATTTGGGAATTACTGAATTTTTACAAACTACCCAACATGCCCTCATTTCTTTTGACAATTTCCACAAAATGTCCTTCCCTTTTTCTTTTCTGTTTTTGGGTATGTCCTTCCCTTTTTATGCGTGCACGTCCTTCTCTTCTTCTTCTTCCAATTGGTGGGTTTCTTTCATTGTCGGTTGGCGTGCTTCTTCCATGACCATGTAATTTAGTCTAGGCTTCGTTTCTTATAATTTTAAATTTTTTATTCTTCCTCTTTCTCATTAGCTTTTAGGGTTTGATTTTATTGTCATTTTTTTTAGTTCAATCTTCATCCTCACAGAAGTTAAAGAAAATTGATTTCATCAAGAAACTATATTTATCATTAATGCAATATGTTGGGTTTAATTTTAAATAATAGTTTAGAGGATTTGGAGAAAAATATTTAATTTTCAACATGAAACTTAATTTATTTTACGATTAAAAATCATTTTTAGGGTGTGATGGAAGTAAGAAACATATTTAACATAAGAATTATACAAGTGACAGTGAAAGTGCGTTTATTATTTTACCTAAAACTTGAATGAAAAAGTCATTTCAACATAATGTTATTTTTCGTCATTATACAGAGCTCACAACAGTTTTACACAAAAATTATCAAATCCTTGAAAATTGATTATTGTATCAAAATAATTTTTAATAAAAAAATTTACCAAACACCAAATTGCTTTATTTCATAGTTGATTTTTCGCACAGTAAATATAACAGTGATTATTTTCACAGCATAGCAATGCCGAAATGGACTTTAATTTATAAAATAGCAGTTTGGTCTACTGAAAGTTCAATATGGTATGCCACTTTTCAGAGCCTGGCCTTGGACTTACGTGGCCATCAAAGTGAAAGCCCAATGGGTTGTTTTCGTAGAAGAAAGCCGAATAGGATTAGTACCTAAACTTGGCCCATAAAACAAGTACATTTTGGACCCGACAAGTAAAGCGAAAAACCAGCGTCCTCGCGCGCACACATGGTTGAGAAGATTAAGGAACAAGACTCAGGCTTTTGGCAAAAACCCCTAAATTCAGCTGCCATCGTCTGATACCAGAAACCGTAAAATATAAACCGCCACTTTCAGCACGACCCTTAACCGACAACACAGAGAGAAACAGGGAGAGAGAGAGAAAGAGAAAGATGAAGGAAGAGGAAGAAGGACCCCCTAATAGGGCACTGTATGCACTGCTTCACATATCACCGGAGGCTTCCGATGAGGAAATCAGAAAAGCTTACAGGCAATGGGCCCAAGTTTATCATCCTGATAAATACCAAGCTCCTCATGTACACTCTCATCCGCAACTCCATTATGTTCCTTCATATTTTATTTTTGAACTTTTTATTTTAAAAAGGTTAAAATTCTGAATATTTTCCTTGTTGGGTTGATACCCAATTTCTCTATTTTGCCAAGAAATGTTTTTTGTTGGTGGCATTGATTTAGTTATTGAACTGCGGGGGAGAGGGTGTGAGGGGGGGGGGGGGGGGGGGGTTTGGTGCTTAGAACGATTATAAAGTTGCTGTTTAATTGTAAATTTGATGATCGATCCTGTGCTTTCAATCAAACACATTGGTGTTCATTGTTTAAGGTTGAAACCTGTCCTGTTGGGCTGTGTTTGTTATAGTATCGTACTAATTTAGAGCGGATTTGTTTGAATTTTGAACTTCATGGAAGGGTCTTTGGCATTGGCAACAAAAATGTTAGACTTTTTTGGCAGTTGAATTTAATTTCATGAAAGGTGGTAATTGAGTAGTACTATCATTCAATACTTGTTTTCAGATGAAAGATACTGCTACAGAAAACTTTCAACGGATATGCCAAGCATACGAGATACTGTCGGATGAGAATAAAAGGAAGATATATGACATTTATGGTATGGAAGGGTTGACTTCTGGTTTGGAGCTTGGGACAAAACTGAATAAAGCAGAAGAGTTGAAGGAAGAACTTGAGAGGTTGCGGAAACTGAAGGAACAAGAGAAGGTCTCAGCACATTTCCGACCTTCTGGTACAATATTGGCCAATATGTCTTTGCCACACCTTTTGCATGGTCATGGCATCATGAGAGGGTACCGCTCGGTTTGTTTATGTGTTATCTTTTTGTCCCTTCATGCAATTGATCATCTTGAATCAAATTATTATTTTTTGCCTCCTATGGAGAATTTTTAAATGTAAATTTACAAACAAAGGGTGCCATTTTATAATCACAATATAGGTAATAGTTGATGCCATACAAAATCACATGCATAGGTGATGTTTTTAGCTTCTTTTAAAGTAATTATTTCACACCTGTCATCACTATGTCTGTGTTCTTATGATTGGACCTAGTTGCATCTCGTATTTCTTGACCATTTTTGTAGGCTTGTAATTCCATTTCTCGTCTTAGTAAGAATCATTGTTCTTCCAATGCAGTTACCTTCCTGGAATCCTATTATAATCACATTGATCCTTGATATCATAAATGCATGATATTCAGTGCAGCTGTATGCTTTGGTTAAGTCTTCTACATCGTAGTTCCATTTGTTTTATCTGGACACTGATTTGATATTAAAAAATGTCAGGATGGCTATGACAAGTTCAGTCCAGTCTCAGATATCAAAGCACAATACCCTTTCAATTGGTGGAAATTTGGCAGTTAATGGGAATTCTGGCGGTGGAGCTGCTACTATAGTTTTTGGGCATCGGCTTTCTTCAGTTTCTTCAATAGAATTCATAGGTTCTGCTGGTTTACGGTCACTTATTGGGGTGCAGACATCTCGGTGAGCTTATCTCATTTGATACAAGTCGGTTTGAATTTTCAGGACGTTAATTCCTCTTTACATATTCATTGTTTGTTTTGTCCAGTAACATATCATCGCATTTAACTGCAACAATGGGACTTTCAATGTCTTTGAGGGATGGTTCACTGAATCTCTCCAATACCTGGGTGCGACAACTATCTGAAACTGCAAGTGGTAATGTATGTGCATTTCTTGTTCCAGTTGACTCTATTTTTTTTTTTTGGGTATCGTTCGTATTTTGTAACATCAGAAAGAACATATTGTACATGAATAATTATAGAAATAGTGGAATATGCTTGAAGTCATGAATGCATCGGACGTCAAAATCACTATGTTTGTGCAAATATACTCTATTTGTAACATGGAACACACCAGATCTTACACATTAGGACGTGTTTTTGTGGAGGGAAAAGATGAATGAAAAGTCTACCGAGTGGTAAAGCCCAACAGGATTGTAAATGATCTAGTCGTATGTAATTTGTTAACAACAAAAAATAGAGTACACATCCTATTAGTATATTCATATTAAATTTTTTGAGATGGCTAACATTTTTATCTTTTCATTTGCCCTGGGGTGGGGCCACCTTCTCTTTAACAGATACAGCTTGCTTTAGGTTCAGACTCAGCTGTTTCAGTAGGATGGCGAAAGAAAAACCAGAAATTGTCTGCTGCTGGGGAGCTGAAGGTACATCTATATTTGGGACATAGTTTAAAAGTAGAATACCTTGGAGACATATCATTTGTTGGACGGTCTACAAATCTTCTATTGCTATGGACCACTCCCTGCCTTGTTCTAATTTTATATTCAGCATTCTGTTAGTTGTTATAAATTCAATTGATCTGTCTGCATGCAATACGTTTTTACTTCGTTTCATTTGTTATAAGCTTCTCACTTCTCAGTGACCCCTCAGTTGAACATGATTACTGCCTTTTATGAAATCAAACTTAATTTGTACATAATTCACTTCAACTTCATTTATTTACTTCTACAGTGTGGCATAGATTCCTTTGCGGCATCAGCTCATTATAATCATCGGTTTTCGTCAAAGTCTCATGGTCGTATTGTGGGGAAAATTGGAAGGTGTGCTCTAAGTATCTCGATGGATAGTTTTTAATTAAACCTTTTTTGTGGGTGATAATAAATTATCAGCAAATGCTGTTTATCTTGATCATTAATCATTGTCTCAAAGTTATTTTTCCATACTCAATTTCGTTCCAACTACATGTTTAACTGTAGTGTCTATGATTAGTTACCAATTATACATGTTTTAGCTTCTCTTTTACTTTTACCATACTACAGAGAAAAATCTTGTTCTGGGTGTTTAGGGAGTTCAATAGTTCCTCTTTTTCTACTCAACCAAACAAAGCAAGATTCCTCTATGTTATGGCTATGATTTTAGTTACCAGTTATATATCTTAACATGTTCCTGCAATGTCTATGATACATTAATTTGATATATAAGCAGGATACAGTCGTCAACCAAATATAGACACCAATTTAGGTAATCTAAGTGCTCATATGTATGCGGTTTTGCAATTGCTTTCTAACTGTAGACATTATTGATGCAGCAATGCCCTTGAGGTTGAAGTTGGTGGGGGGAGAAAGCTATCAAATTTCAGCACTGTTCGCATGTTGTATTCAATTGGAATTCAGGTGATTCAGAAAGAAATTTATAAATTTTTAAAAGCTTTATGCTGTATTTATTTCGTGGAAAATATTATTCAGATAACATTTTCTTTCATTGGATTGTGTTTTTGTTGTTTTGATTTTTTTAATTTCTCAATTTGCTTGGTGATTATTTAAGTTTTCTAGGAACACTTTGCAGAGGAAATAACGAAGAAAACCAATTTAACTTGATATTTTGAGTTTTTAGAAACCTTTCTTAAACCATTGTTTTTTTAAATAAAAAATCACGTGTGCAAGAAGATTTCCCTTTTAATCTCACGGTACGCCTGGCCTCAATTTATTTATTGTTTAGTTTTGACTAAAGTGCCACAAATTGCATTAGCAATCCTTTTGAAGAAAGAGGCCTTTTTTTAATCATATGCGCCCTGCATCTTATGTGTTTTTTTGTTTTATTTGTTGTAACTCTATTTGTCAAAAGACTTTTCCTATTGTGTGTTCTCTGTGTGTGATATTTTTTGTTTGTAACATATGGAAACATTTTTTTTTTGCGTATGCTGTATACATTGCAACATATCCTTTATTTAGCCATATCAATATTAGAGCATGTATGAAATATGAGGTACAATTGGTGTAACTAAAGTTACAAAAATTGATAAAAAGTAATAATGAAGCATGAAATGATTCAATAGGAATGTGAATAAAAGATAATGGAGAATAAAATTTGAAAATGTTATGCTAAAAGTGATGAATAAAAATTACAGAAGTTGAGGTAGAGTTAATCATTTATTAATATTGTAGATTAGAAGATAGTTTACTACAGTGACCGAAATTGCGTTAACAGTATCAGAAAATGCAAATGTTGAAATGAACAGAGATTCTTTCTACTGTGGATATATGGGCATTACTTTTTCACAGTAGATCTTGTTTCTTATTTGCAGATTTCATTATCAAATGCTTTGATGCAAATAAAGTTAGGAAAAAAGACTTGCACAACACAAATTTGTAAACAGTTGGCCAAAGTCTTTAAGTGGAGAAAACCGAATTCCCATATGAACTTTTTTTGTAAATTTACTCCTTTGCTCCTTCTGCAACAAAATATAGTTTAAGTAGTAAGACTAATAATAAAACTCCCTATACCAAGATTCTGTAGAATGTTATGTAACACAAAAGTATAACTGCAATTTTTTTTGTTTGAATAGAAACATTGTATTGATAATCAAGAGGAAAAACTCCTCGATCAAACAACAAGAACTAAAATAAAGGGTGTCTGACCTACTAAGATTGAAAATAATTCTGTAATTAAAAAACACAAAACTTCAGTAAAATCATCTTAAGACTGCCATCATGTCTCTCATGATGGTAGAGTAGTGATAGTCCTTGAACTGCCCCGAAACCGAAGCCCAAAGAGATGCCCAAAATTTAATTCTATCCCATAATTCCTCAACCCTTACTCCTCTATGATCCTGAAAAATTCTTCGATTTCGCTCCATCCAGATATTCCAGAATATAGCATGAACTAGACAATCACGAAGGATTCCAGCTCTCTTCCCCTTCCCCGAAACCCTCAAATTGATACTAAGGAGCTCAAAACACCCTTTAGGAATCACCCACTCCGCTCCGAGAGCACCCAACATCCTCCACCATAATTTTAGGGAATACGAACAATGAAGGAACAAGTGATCAATGTTTTCTGCATTCTCTTTGCAAAGAACACACCAAGAAGGCGATAAGCACATCTTTGGTTGCCTCCCTTGAATGCTATCGCAAGTATTCATCTTGCCATTTGCCGCCAGCCACACGAAAAATTGAATTTTCGGAGGTGTCTTTGCCTTCCAGATTGAGATGAAAGGGGGGAAGACATCCCTGGTGGTAGAGAGAAGAAAACACCTGAAAGACTTGCAGGAAAAAGAACCCTGCTCCTCAGTTTCCCATGATCTCCGATCCGATCTAGAACTATTTAATATCACCTTCCCCAATATATCCAAAAGTATTACCACTTCTGCTATTTCAGCCTCGGATAAATTCCTTCTGAAATCAAAATCCCAATTAAGAGGCATCTCATTGTTCAGTATAGTAGATAGTGATAGTGAGATTGGCATAAAAAGGGGAAGGGAGCTAAAGTATCTACCAGGAAAAAAAACAGCAAACACCTATTATGAAAACATCTAAAGTAATTATATCTGCAGTGATACATCAGGTTTTCTTTTAGTTTGAAGAAAAATAAAGGTTACCACACAATCTTCAAAAGCTCTCCACATAACTCCACACACAGCCTAAAATTCCAGCAAAACCCATGACAAACCTTGTCCACATAGAAAATTCAACTTCATATCTGAATTGAACGAAGCAACTGAAAGACAAGTAAAAAATAACTTAATTAGATTAATCCATCAAGAAAAAGAAAAAGAAAAAGAAAAAAACCTTAGAGTTGCTAACTAAAATATAACCTTGTGGCCAAATTCAGATGATTTTGATCCTTTGGTAATCTCTGGACGTCTTCAAGGCTTTGATCTTCTATGCGCTTTGCCTTCCAAGCAAAGTTCAGGAAAAAAAATGAAGTATTTTTAAGATTTTTTTTTTGTGAAGAGACCCAGCTATCTCTGTTAATCTGGCGTTTGTGCGATGAGAGAAAAAGGGAGACCGTTGAACCTGTTGTGCAATTCAACTTAGCAGTTTGTGATAATTATTATATTTTTCTCTTTTTTAAAAAACATTTTTTAGTTATATTGTTTTACTATTTTACCCTTACTATGTTATATTTTGTCTTTTGAGGATTTTAGTTAACTAAGAGCAATTTAGCTGTGTTACATGTTTGGTTGTTAGGCGTCCTAGTCTAAGAGAATATTGAATAACTTTTCAATTAGTGTTTCAATTAAAACTATAAAAAATTTGTTGGATTTTTTCGTGCATGATCTGCAAAGATTAAATTTTGTTTGTTAATGGCTATTGTTTATAGTTCGTTCAGACACTTTAAATTTATTTTTACACAGTAATTCACTTTTTCAGTTAGTTCCTGGTTAACTTGTTTATATGTTCAAAGTGTGACTGCAATCTTACACACTACCTTTCTATGACAGGGTATATTTTGGAAATTCGAATTGCACCGTGGGGGCCAAAAGTTAATCATTCCTGTAAGCATTAATTTTAGCCTGTGTGTATTTTAGATGTGAATGCAAATTTGATCTGTATTTGACATTTGATCAAAGGTTTTTTATGTGCATGTGTGCCTCTTTATTTTTGCACTTGAGGATTTGAAATGCTCCTTGTGTAGAGTTTAAGGAGCCATTGGATTAGAAAATACAAAACTAAGGTTGCATTTTGATATCTAACATGTATTTTTGGAAATTTTTCTTCTTGTTATGTGTGGATTGCTCTTTTTATATCTTTTCGGAAAGAAAATGAAACACAACTCTATATTGTTAGTATCACCTGGGTTTAGGCCTCACAAGTTTTGATCTGTTGCTGATGGCTTTACATGCAGATTTTGCTTTCTAGGCATTTGGATCCTGTGTTTGCAGCCGGAGCATTCATAATTCCAACATCAGTTTACTTCGTACTCAAGGTTAGTACAGATATACTAACTTTGGCCCTTGAGTACGTTATTCTTCTTTTTTTTGGTAAAGGAAGAAGAGAACAAGAGAGCACGTATGTTATTCTTCTTTACCTTATGCAAACACAGCCTAGGTTTTTAACTGGCAGGATTTCCTCATTATTTTTTACATGTGCCGGTGTTGTTGAGCTATTGTTGGACTGTTAAAGTTGGTCCCATTTGTAAAGTTCATGAAGCGATTTACGAAATAATATGTGGGCAAGGGTCTTGAAGATGCAATTTATCATCTATGCTCAGTTGACCAGAGAATTGCATGTTCTATATATTGTCTATTGATTATGTGTATTTTTTGTTTGCTTGCAGAAATTCGTTTTGAAACCTTATTACCTTAAGAGGGAAAAGCAGAAGGCTTTAGAGAATAAGGAAAAAACTTCTGCACAGGTATGGCTATCCATAAGTGCAAAATATCTGTGCAATTTTAGGGCACCAAGTTTTGTGCTTTGTTGCAATTCTTGGTGAGATGCTGAGAGATACATGTTGCACCTGGTTTTCAGTTGGATTTGCAGGCTTCATTGTGTTGTATAATTATTCTTCCCTGAATTAATACAATTCAGTCTACACATGATATGTTTCTATTTTTTATTTGTAATGTTTTACTTTTTGTTTTCCATTTTCCCTTGTGTGAATATTTGGAAGAATCTGTAAACCTTGTATCTGCAGGTTCTGGAGGCAAGAGCAGCAGCAGACAAAGCTCAGAAGTTACTACAGAATGTAGCGAATAGGAAAACAAATAAGCAGCTAGAAATAGGGGGTCTGGTAATCACAAAAGCATTGTATGGGAATCTCAAAGCTTTGAAGAAAAGAGATGAACCAGTAGAATCAAATGATTCACCGGTCATTGATGTTAAATTGCCTCTAAATTTCCTTGTCAGCGATTCTGGACAACTGCAGGTTTGTTCTTTTTATAAAATTATGTTACTGCTTAACTCTTGAGTGCTTGTTTGATCTTCATTCTAGGAACGCATTTCACAAGCAGTAAGTTTGGCTAAATTAGGATAATATTGCATTTACAAGAATGCATGCTTTACTATTTTAACTGAAAAAAGAAATGCAAGGGTCAGGTTCTAGCTCATGAAGAGAATTAGAACTCATTCTTGCAGCCTACTGTAATTAGAATTAGTTTCAACTCTAGAAACAATTGTTCCTTAGTTTTCCTAAGACTTATGGGTGCTCAATTTAATCTGGCAGCTTCATGAAGGCGTAAAGAAGTCTGGTATTATGGGCTTCTGTGATCCATGTCCTGGAGAGCCTAAACAGTTGTACGTGGAATACACTTATGGTGACGGGAGATATGAGGTACTACGATTCCCTTTGCTTTTGTTTTTAGCTCAGAATCCTCTACTGTTTAAAACACAAGTATCCTGAAGTACTGTTGCGGTATGGCTAATTCGAAACTTTTGTACCAGGTTACCGTTGACGATTATGACAAGTTGGTAATACCTCAGGAAGAGCACAGAATTTGATTTCCATTTCATTATGTCTAAATCTGGGCTACATTCGCTTACCTTTACCTATCACAGTTTTGAATGTATTTACAAGCCTCTGAAACCTAAATTTTGTCCCCAATGGAAAGGCATCTTAATTGGATTTCCACCTCTTTTTTTTCATTACAACCGCTCCTTTTTATCTTTTTCATCGAATTTTGTTTCCTCTAGTATTAAACCTTGATAAGAATAGAAATAAAGGCCGCCTTTTTTTACTGTTAATACTAGAAACAGTGTTATACCATTTTCTTGTGATGTCCAATTTGTTTCTTTTCTTTAAGTTCCCCCCGAAGAGCTATTATAAAACCAATTTTCATCGATATCTCTACTTCCCTGATACCCAATGGATATCAAAGCACTCAAGAGTTAATTAGGATGGTCTAATTGTAATTAATTTGAAGATGTTGTCTAAGAGCTGGTAAACATGATTAAATTGTCTCAGCCTTACCATGTTTATGCTCTACATTGAATAATACACGTATCCGAGTGTGTATCATCCTCTCACGACGTGCTTTCCTATTGTCCTTAATTTAATCCCCTAGTGATAAGTGTGAAGTTTTATCTCAAAACATATAATTACAACTTAAGAAGATATCTTATTATATACTTAATTACATAATCACATGCTCGATGTAATCAATCGATTATATATGATTTTCCCACTTCCCAAAGATATATGTACAGTTTTTCTGGTGTTCTCCCGGGTTTCTCCTATTTTATTTTATTTTAATGTTCTTTGTTTTTCAATTACAATACTAGCCTTGTAAACAATAAATATAAATGAGGTTTTCTATTTAAACCTCACACTTCTCTTAGTTCACCTCATGTTCTAAGTTCACCCCAACTTTTAATTTAAATTTTCACAATTTCTAAGGAAACCCCACTATCTTCCCAAACTACCCTTAAATACACCCCAAACTGAAAAAAATAAGAAATAAAAGAGATTTTCTATTTAAACCCCTTCAAGTTTCAAACTGATATAAATTGTTGTTGCTTCCTATTCTTCCTTGAGTTTTGCAGTGCATTGGTTCCAACCTCTGAAGTGGTTGTCAATGAACAAGTAGAAAAGGAAGAGGAAAAGGTGGTCGAAGAGTGGTCGTCAATCAACAGTCATTAGGAAGATTGAAAATTCAAGAGTTGGTGCTAGTTCTTCCAAGACATCAAAAGACAGCATGACTCCTCTAAGAACTCCAACTACGGTGTGCCTCCCAATTTCTTTGAAGTTTTTCTAAAAGCATCTCCAAAGATTTGCAGTTTTTCCAACAGTGCTTACTGCTAAAGAGTTTATCTTTGGAACTGCAGGTATCTAAGAATGAGGTGCACAAGCGTTGTACAAAAATTCAAGTTACCCCATACTTTCTAGAGAAAGAGAACAGTTTTACCAAAACATCAGGTATAAATTTTAAATCAAAAATCAAAACAATCAAGCAATCAACAACCAAGAGTACCAAAAAAGAAAAAGAAAAAAAAGCAATCAACGAAGGGAAGAGAATAAGATCATTATAGCGAAACAATCAACAAGTCTTTCCATCAGCTTCCGCGAAGATTTCAAAGAGGTAGGCTCGTCAATGTTCTACGTCTTTAAAAGAGAAAATTAATCTGGCATAGGATGTAGAAGAGTTTGTATTTTTTTTAAAACTTAATTTGAAGAGTTGTGGGGTGTGTGTATAGATATATTAGGGTTAAGTATTAAGTTGGATGACTTTTTTTATTTTTTTACACAATAATAAAATTTACAGCTTAATGATTTAAGTATTGGGGTGAACTAAGAGAAGTGTGGGGTTTAAATAGAAAAAATCATATAAATTTCACTTTATATGTTTGGGAAAGGTTGCCCAGAAAGAGAAGAATTTTCATAAGCTTTTTTTATTCTGAAAGAAAATTTACGTACGCGTCAAGGAAAGCGCAGAAACAGCGCCCCTCGTGCACAGTGTACTGTTTGATAAGATCAAGGAACAAACAAAGAAGACCCAGGCTTTGGCCAAAAAACCCCTAAACCCCTAAATTCAAATGCCATGGTTAAATAAAAACTGCCACTTTCAGCACGTCCCTTAACCCGCCGCTCCCAACACGCCTCAAACCACACCACAGAGAGAGAGAGAGAGAGAGAGAGAGAGAGAGAGAGAGAGAGAGAGTTAAAAGATGAAGGCAGAGGAAGAAGGACCCCCCGATAGAGAGCTGTACGCGCTGCTTCACATTTCACCGGATGCCTCCGATGAAGAAATCAAAAAAGCTTACAGGCAATGGGCCCAAATCTATCATCCTGATAAATGCCAAGCTCCTCATGTACACTCTCACCCGCAACTCAATTCCATTCCTTTATGTTTTTTTTTTCCAAATTTTAATTTTTAAAATGTTAAAAGTCTGAATCTTTCCATTATTGGGTCGATACCCAATTTCTCCGTTGTACCAATATATGTTTTTTTTTGGTGGCATTGATTTTGGTTATTGAAATGCTGCATTGGTTCTATTGGGTCAGCTTAGAACGATTCTTAAAGTTTGCTGTTTGATTGTAAACTTGATGGGTCTTGTGCTCTCAAAGGCATTGGTGTTCATTGGTTAAGGTTAAAACTTGAAACCTACCCTACTGGGTTTTGTCTGTTATAGTAATGTACTGTAATCAAATACAGCGCAGATTTGCTTATGAATTTTGAACTTCATGGAAGTGTCTTTGGCATGGGCAACAATAATGTTAGATTTGTTTGGCTGTTGAATTTAATTTCATGAAAGGTGGTAATTGAGTAGTACTATCATTCAATATTTGTTTTCAGATGAAAGATACTGCTACAGAAAACTTTCAGCGGGTATCCTGTGCTTATGAGATACTGTTGGATGAGAATAAAAGGAAGATATATGACATTTATGGTATGGAAGGGTTGACTTCTGGTTTGGAACTTGGGAAAAAACTGAATAAAGCTGAAGAGTTAAAGGAAGAACTTGAGAGGTTACGGAAACTGAAGGAAGAACTTGAGAGGTTACGGAAACTGAAGGAACAAGAGGTCTCAGCACATTTCCGACCTTCTGGTACAATGTGGGCCAATATGTCTTTGCCGGACCTTTTGCATGGTCATGGCATCATGAGAGGGTACAGCTCAGTTTGTTTATTTATTATCTTTTTGTCCTCCATGTAATTGATCATCTTGAATCAAATTATTATTTTTGACGCCTGGGAGAATTTTTACGTGTAAATTTAGAAACAAAGTGTGCCATTTTACAATGACAACATAGGTAATAGTAACATTGCTCAATTTTGAGTGTCTGCCCCTTTCTTTTTGTGCAAATTTCATACACAATCACATGAACAGGTGATGGTTTTAGCTCCTTTAAAGTAATCATTTAACACCTGCCATTACTATGTCTGTAGTTGCATCTTGTATATCTTGACCATTTTTTGTAGGCTTGCAATTTCATTTCTCATCTTATTAAGATATCATTTTCCTTCCAATACAGTTACCTTCCTAGAATCCTATCATAATCACATTAGTCCTTGATATCGTAAAGGCATGATAGTTTTATGCTTTGGTTAAGTTTTCTACATTGTAGTTCCTATTGTTTTATCTGGACACTGATTTGCTATTAAAAGAATGTCAGGATGGCTATGACAAGTTCAGTCCAGTCTCACATATCAAAGCACAATATCCTTTCAATTGGTGGAAATTTGGAAGTTAATGGGGACTCTGGCTATGGAGATGCTACTATTGGCTTTGGGCATCAGATTTCTTCAGTTTCTTCCATAGAATTCATAGGTTCAGCTGGTTTATGGCCACTTATTGGGGTGCAGACATCTCGGTGAGTTTATCTCATTCCATTCGGGTCAGTTTGAATTTTCAGTACGTTCTGATTCCTCTTTGCATATTCATTGTCTCTTTTGTCCAGTAACTTGTCATCCCATTTAACTGCAACAATGGGACTTTCAATGTCTTTGAGAGATGGTTCGCTGAATCTCTCCAATACCTGGGTGAGACGACTATCTGAATCTACAAGTGGAAATGTATGTGCATTTCTTGTTCCAGTTTACTCATTTTATTTCATTCTTTTTGGGTATTGTTGAGGTTTTCATCGTATTTTGTAACATCAGCTGGATCATAATATGCATGAAAAATTATGGAAGAGCTGGAATATGCTTGAATTCATGAATGCGTCAGCCGCGTCACAATCACTGTATTTGTAATGCAAATTTGTTCTATCAGTAACATGGGACACACCAGATCTTACATATTGGGACCTGCTTTTGCAGAGGGAAAAGATGAAAGAAAAGTCAAATAAGTTGTGAAGCTTTTTAGGATTAAAAATATAAGTTGATCTAGTCAAATGTAACTTCTTAAAAGCAAAAAATAGAGTACATGTCCGTTTAGTATATCTGTATGAACTTCTTATGGCTAAGATTTTTAACCTTTCATTGGCCCCGGGGGGTTCACCTTCTCCTTAACAGATCCAGCTTGCTTTAGGCTCAGACTCAGCTCTTTCAGTAGGCTGGCGAAAGAAAAACGAGAAATTGTCTGCTGCAGGACAGCTGAAGGTACATCTATATTTGGGGCATAGTTTTAGAGTAGAATACCATGGAGACATATCAGTTGTAGGGCGGTCTACAAATTTATAATTATAGCTATGCACCCTTGCCTGCCTTGTTCTAATTTTATAATTAGTATTCTGTTAGTTGTTATAAATTCAATTGCTCTGTGTACGTGCAAGACATTTTTACTTTGTGTCATTTATTATAAGCTTCTAACGTCTCAGTGACTGTTAGTTGTACATAATTTAATGCCTTTTTATGAAATCAAACTGAAGTTGTACATAATTCACTTTAACTTCATTTATTTTCAACTTCTACAGTGTGGGATAGATTCTTTTGCGGCATCAGCTCATTATAAGCATCGGTTTTCATCAAAGTCTCATGGCTGTATTGCGGGGAAAGTTGGAAGGTATGCTCTAAGATCTAAATGGATAGATAATTATAAATTTTTTTAGGGGTGATAGTATATTATCAGCAAATGCTATTTATCTTGATCGGTACTTATCCTCTCAAAGTTAGTTTTTCTTAATTTCGTTCCAACATTTAAACCTTTTCACCTGTGATGTCTTTGATTTTAGTTACCAATGATACCTATTGTAGCTTCTCTTTTACTTTTATCACCTACAAAGAAAAATATTGTTCTGGTTAGGAAGTTCTATAGTACCACTTGCTGGACTCAATCAAACAGAACAAGATTCCTCCATGTAATGT